CAGGAACAGTATTGAACAGAGATGTGAATTCTGGCCAGTGAAGTCTCTCTAGAAAAAGGAGAAATTATGAGATTTGCTTACCTATATTCTGGGTAGCTGCTCTTTGTGAGAAGACTGCAGGAATGGAGATTTTGGTGCTCAGTTTATGAGTTGAACAGCTGGGTTCGAAGGATTTCAATCAAGCTCACTGCTGTAATACAGCCTATATAAACATAAGGTTGCTGAGAGTCATTTCTTAATCACTTTCAGAAATTGCTTCTTATTTACTTCTCAGCTATTACTAACCTTTGCAATAGAGTGATATGGAAAAAGATGCTATACTGGATATACAAATGAAACCAGCTGGTGTCTTAATAATTAAAAGGGATATACAAATAAATCAAAAGAGTGGCCTGGATAATTTTCCTATATTGGATTTAGGAAATCAATTTCTTAACATTTAAAAGATTTTGTAAGACAGGACAATGAAAAAAAGGAAACAAATCAAGTTTTAGGACAGTATTTGAAGAGATTAAAAATAGTTAAAACAAAAAGGAAGGAATATAAACTTGGTTTCTTTGATCAAGGTTAAAAGAGATAGTTATCTCTGGTAACTTGCTGACCAGAATTGAATGCCAAGTTTTTGTTTATAGATAAGAGATGAGATATGGGGAAAATATATCATTTGTTGTATTTTAAGAGAAGTTATGAAAATTGTTTATACTTATGAAGGGAGAAATCATTGTTTTATATATTTTCATTTTCTTTATTATATTGTTACTCTTTTTTCTTTTTTCTGTACTTTTTTTTCTTCTTTTTTTTAGTTTACATTAGTTTTTGTCTTTTTAATTGTAATTGTTATGCAGGGAATCAGGTGTGGCTTGGCGTGAACAAAGAGGTAGAATCCAAATTCTCTTTCTATCACATGTTTTTTTCAGGCCTGGACAAAGGTGGGTCCCCTCCATAATGCTTAATGAATCTCAAATACAAGTATATATAGATTTCTTATTTTTATTTGGTTACATAAGCAGGAAACATCACAGAGTAGATAAGGCAAGAAGTTTATTTTTTTATTTTTTTTTATTTGTCAATCGCTTACAAGATAATAGGTATAAGTATATACCTAGTTATGAATACATGAAGTGGGTACATATAAGAAAAATAAAAAGAAACAATAGGACAGGGACGGTAGGCACGTTGGTGCATTTATGCACGCCCACTACAGACCTCTTAGGAAAGGGGTGAGGTCAATAGTAGACAGTCTAAGGTTAAAGTTTTTGGGGTTTGGGGAAGAAACCAAGTCAGGTAGAGTATTCCAGACATTGACCACTCTGTTGCTGAAGTCGTATTTCCTGCAATCAAGTTTGGTGCAGTTAACCTTGAGTTTGTATCTGTTGTGTGCTCTTGTGTTGTTATGGTTGAAGCTGAAGTATTCATTGACAGGTAAGTCATTGCAATGTATGATTTTATATGCCATACTTAGATCAGACCGAAGACGGCGTAATTCAAGGTTTTCTAGGTCTAGAATTTCAAGTCTGGTGGTATAAGGTATTCTACAACGAGTAGAGGAGTGGAGAACTCTTCTTGTGAAATATTTCTGGACTTTCTCAACTGTGCTAATATCAGATACGTAATGTGGGTTCCAGACTGATGAGCTGTATTCAAGTATTGGTCTAGCAAATGTTTTGTATGCTCTAGTTAGTAGTGTGATATTACCAGAGAAAAAGCTACATAGGATTAGGCTAACAACTCTTAATGCCTTTTTGGCTATGTAGTTACAGTGGGCTCTAGCACTTAGATCATTAGAGATGAGTATTCCAAGGTCCTTTACAGAGCTTGGATCATCAACAAGGTCTTGACTATTCAGCTTGTATTTTATTTTCTGTTTTTTTTTTTTTTTGCCAATATGTTGGACAGAGCATTTATTTGTTGAGATCAGCTTTACATCATCAGTGAAGAGAACACAGTTGCTCTTAATGTGATCACAGAGGTCATTTATGTAGAGTATGAAGAGAGTTGGTCCTAGAACACTGCCTTGGGGGACACTACTATTGACAGATACAGAATTTGACAGGACACTTCCAATTTTGACCATTTGTTGTCTGTTTGACAGGAATGCTTCTATCCAATTATGCAGTTGTCCAGAGATACCATAAGATTTTAGTTTTAGGAGTAGTTTATCATGTACCACTGAATCAAAGGCTTTACAGAAGTCTATGTAGATTGCGTCTATTGTTTTGCCCTGATCGAGTTGTGTAGTCCATATGTAAGAGTTGCAGATTATAGGATAGTTTTTTTCTGAAACCAAATTGTTTATTAGAGAGTAGGTTGTTTGTCTCTAAGTGGGGGATGATGGATTGGTTAATAATTGATTCAATGACTTTACAGGTGATGCAGCATAAGGAGATTGGTTTATAATTTTCAACTAGGCTGGGGTCTCTCTTTTTGAAGACGGGGATGACCGTGGCTTGTGACCATAGGTTAGGCAAGGAGCTGGTCCTGAAAGATTTTTCAAAGATTATGCTTAGAGGTTCTGCTATGGCAGTGGATAGCTTTTTTAAGAAGTAGGCACATATTCTGTCCGGTCCAATAGATAGAGATGGTTTTAGATTGCGTAGTGCTTTTTCAACATTGTCTTCTGTAAAATCGATATGTATTAGATCATTGTAGTTTTCTGTGGTTCGGCTAGGAAATACTGGGCATGATCCATTGCTGTTTACAAATACTGAGCCAAAGAATGTGTTAAAGAGGTTGGCTTTAATGGTGTCGTCATTGCAGTCTTTACCATTAGGTCCTATCAGGGGTGGGATGGACCTTGAGTTTTTTAGTTTGTTATTTACAAAATTGTAATAAGCGCGGGTGGAATTGGTGCGTATAAGGTTTTCCTCTTGTTTAATGTGATAATTGGTGCATTCAGTCTTTATCTGGTGGCATAAATTTTTGTATCACACATCCTGACTCACTCATCCTCAAGCTCTGTGGTTTCTTTCACAAGGTTTGCATGGTGCTTTCACAAGGTCTTCATGAACCTGGAAGCCTGCTGAGGTCATCCTTTTATTTCTGTCATTTCAACAAGAATCTACATCATCAAACCAATTCACAAATCAGTTATCAGAATTCTGATTAACATAATGTTTAATAAAATTGTTATATAAAGCAGGAAATCTAATCCAAAGATCAGAAGTCTATAAAATTTCAATTGAAGAGTCTCCTCTGGCAGTAAAAAAATTATTCACAGCACATTGCTTAATGTGAGAATAGAATAATAGAATAGTCAATTAATAGAGTAACAGTTGGAAAGGACCTTGGAAGTCAACTAGTCCAACCCCGTGCTCAAACAGGAAAGTCTATACTGTTTTAGACAAATGGATGTCCAATTTCTTCTTGAAAGCCTCTTGTGATGGAGCACTCAACTTCTGAAGGCAAGTCATTCTACTGGTTCATTGTTCTCACTGTTAGAAAATTTCTAGTTTGTTCTAGCTTGCTTCTTTCCTTGATTAGTTTCCATCCATTGACTTATGCCTTGCCTTCTGATGCTTTGGAAAATAGTTTGCCCCCCTCATCTTTGTGGTAGCCCCTCAAATACTGGAACACTGTTATCATATCTGCCCTAGCCCTTCATTTTACTAGACTAGACAGAGTTCTTGCAACTGTTCTTCATATGTTTTAGCCTTATCATCTTAGTTGCTCTTCTGTGCACTCTTTTCAGAGTCTCAGTATGCATTGATGAGTACTCATCGCAAGCTTACATTTCACAAATAACAGAAACACAATATCTTCTCAAAGCAACTTGCTACCAACTGAAGTGAAAGAACAGATGTTAAAGAATATGTCAGAGCTCAGTTTTGCCATTTGTTGGCATCTTTGAACATCCATTAACTGAGCCAATGAGATGGATCCAAACACCACAGAATTCAGGATGTCTTAAACTCAAAACTCATTTGAAGGACAGTTTAGAAATTTGGATTCCATATGCTACAAGACTTGAATGCAAAGTAAATCTCCAATGTTCTAAGATGTCAACAGAATGGCAGAACTGATGAGCTGGAGGCAGAATTCTCCCAGAGACCAGTTGGGATCGGTGTATTGGGGCCTTCCCCAAACACTACTTCTGAGAGTCAGTGATCAGATAATGAATCATGAGGCTGAATTTCTTTCTTGATCATTAGGTTGATTCTTAAGAGATTTTTCTTTCATGTATAGTATGCAAGGAAAAATTAATATATTCATTGTTTCACCACCATCAATATCTCTCACTCTTGGGTTAAGACCTTTCCCACTATCTGATGCTCTTATTGACACTGTTGCATGACTCCATAGAAAATCCTTACTAGTGAGATAATTCACGGATGGAGAAAATAAATTCATTCTCTTATTTATGAACAGTTCACCTTCCCTTTGTTAAAATAAATAACTCACACACAATACACCCCTGTGAGGTGAGTTAGGCTGAGTGAAAGTGACTGCCCAAAGTTACCCAGCTGGCTTTCATGGACAAGACAGGACTAGAACTCTCCATCTCCTGGTTTCTAGGCAGGAGTTTTCTCTCCTCTCTCTCTCTTTCCCTCCCTCCCTCCCTGCCTCCCCCGGTAATTATTTGAAGCTTCTTATTTTGTTGCCCTAGCTTCACAAAATATCCATGTTGGAAGTTTGATTGTTTTGTGTAATCAGTAATTTAGTTTGTATTCTACATTTTGGGGGAGGGAGGAGAAGACAATATGTGGTATATGTTTCTTTTTCAAGATTATATTGCTTAACTCACTCTAGTTTTTTCCATTCCCTAAATGCCAGATAGATTGTTTTTAAGAAATTCTTGCTGGCAAATCATTAACTTTCCCATTTGATCTATCAAATTGGGTGTAGAAAAAGACCTCTGGACCTTTCCCAGGAGAAGAAAAGCACAGGAAGGTGAGGAAAATGAGAAAGCTCATGGCAAGCAAAGCGTCTATAAAGCATATATTCTGGGAGTGAAAAGCAACTTGCCAGATATCCTTCATCACTAACTTACCCATTTTTTTCAGGATATTAATCATCACTTATTCCTGGTGGATTCGGGGCATGGTTTCTGTCTTCAAAAGCTTGCCAATCACTGGCAAAACCTGTTGGCGGCCCAGTTTTAGTTTCACCAGTGAGATATCTTCTCTCAAAATGACTCTCAAGGACCATGGGCTACATTTTTTCCGCAGTGCTGTGGATGCAGTCCTGCCGGGGCCGATACTGAAAAGGGCCTTGGTGCTAGAACCAGGTGGACGCCCCAGACTTTTGCTACATGGCCGTCCTTTTGAACTGAAGAGAAATCTATACCTGGTTGGCTTTGGAAAGGCTGTTCTGGGCATGGCAGCAGTGGCTGAGGACATCCTCGGAGGCTACCTCACTCAGGGAATAATCAGTGTTCCTCGAGGCATCCAAGAAACTCTGCGACATGCAGGAATGAGGTAAGGAAGAAGGCCATATTTTATGGAGATAAAAATCTGGCATGGAAGCTAGCTCCAAGAATCTTGTCTTGAGTCCTTCATGATTTGGTTAACTTAAATCTCAGTTGTGACATGCTTTACCTACTTCAAATACCTAGCTACTTGAACAGATTTATGGAGATAACTTCCTATTTTTATTTAACCCGTGGGAAAAACAGAAGACAATGTGATGTTTTGAGTTGCTCCTTAGAATTTTAGGTGATCAATATTCTTTTGTTTTCCTTTCATTATCACCTTAATTATCCTGGCTGGCCATCTGTTTAAAAAGTTTTAAATATCATGGGTTTCAGCAGTATAAAGCTCAGCTAATAAGTGACTCTTTTGCGGGGGAAATGTTGCAGGGAAATGTTGCTGAAGCCGCACAGCCGAATCCAAGTCCTGGAAGGAGCAAGGGACAACCTTCCTGATCAAGAAGCTTTGGAGGCAGCCAGGGCCATATTGGAATTAGCCAAGAGTCTCACAGCAGATGACCTTCTCCTGGTACTAATTTCAGGTAATGCTTGAGAGCCCCAAAGGACAGAGAGGCTTTTGTCACCTCCAGATGCTTTCAAAATTCTTCTTTACCATTTTCTAACCTTGTTATATTTTTGCATGTTCTGCAAGCAAACTAGGTTGCGTTTTCCACTATTAAAAAGAAGAAAAGCAGATGGCATGGGGAGGTGACTCAGGGTGGCTTTCAGTATGACTTTGCCCTGGGTGATGCTGACTGGCCTTTGAAGCACCCTTATGCTTTTTTGTGCCAGCTTGCTTTGGAAATCCTATCTTTGCTGGCCTTGGTAGTCTTCTCCATCACTTTCCCTTAGCTTTTGCTGCTGTTCTGCCATGGAGAAGGTGGGATCTTCTGCAATGGAAGGAAATGGGGTACTAATAGTTTTGCATAAATGTTTTTTCAATAGCTTGCTGAAATAAATGTGGCCATTTCAAATTAATCAGTTCTCCATAGTTTCTGTGATTCACACAGATGGGTTGTATGCAGGGGTGGGATTCTACCAGTTCACACCTATTCACTAGAACCGGTTGTTAACATTCTAAGGAGTTTGGAGAACTGGTTGTTAGAAGAAATTACTGGCCTTATCCTGTAAGGAAGGCAGGAAGGAAACATTCTGGTATTGCTTACAGAAACTGCCTCTCCGTTAACCCTTATTACATTCTTGGCAGGACTAGACTTCCTGTCTCAGGAACTTCTCTGGAGTTTTTTCCCCCTCCTTTGCTGGTACTTTGCTTGTGTGGAGTGACCATTCAAAGTTACAATGGCACTGAAAAAAGTGACTTATGACCATTTTTCACACTTACAACTATTGCAGCATCCCCACAGTCATGAGAGGCCAGGCGAGGAGATGCTTGCCTCGATGTGAGTGATATTGAGTTGGCCACACCCAGCCAATAACATGATCACCAAGCCATGTCCACCCAGTCACATGACCACCAAGCCACACCCACCACCTAAACCATGCCCACAGAACCGGTTGTTAAAAATTTGAATCCCACCCCTGGTTGTATGTGTCTCCCTGATGTACTTTTTTTCTCTTTCTCCATCAAATTCAGCTTTACTGAAAAATCAGAAGTATGTATGCTCAGGCTCTTATTTTGCAACTAATCTCTAAAATAGGTTATGTTCTTCTACTGATATTTCCAGTTTAATGAAACCACTCTAGCTTTTCTTGCTTAGAAATTTCAAAACTGCTAGCCTTGTTTTGGTCCAGCAGGTGGCAGTCCAGAATAAGAATAAAGAATATGCCATGTAATATTGAAAAACGCAGTAAGTTGAGCAGGAGCATGAAGCTAGAATATAGAACATAGAATAACAGGGCTGGAAGGGACCTTGGAGGTCTTCTAGTCCAACCTCCTGCTTGAGCAGGAGACCCTAAATCATTTTAGACAAATGGTTGTCCAGGCTCTTCTGGAAAACCTCCAGTGTTGGAGCACATACAACTTCTGAAGGCAAGCTGTTTCACTGATTAATTGTTCTGTCAGGACATTTCTCCATTATTAATACTAGGTTGTATCTCTCTTTAATAATCTTTCACCCATTATTCCTAGTCCCATCCTCAGGTCCTTTAGAAAATAGGTTGATCCTGTTGTCCATGGAAGAGTGTAGTGTGCCAAAGAGTTGGCAAATTTGTTTGGTCTGAAGGGGCTGGAAATTGTTTGTCTGAAGAGGCTAGGAATTTGACATTCCAAGTAGCCATGTTTTTGAGGTCTACATCATAGCATTCATTTCATTTTGATGTTCTTGGTATTAGTTATGTTGGTGCAATTATTGTACAGATTGTTCTTTCCACTATTTTCTTAACTGTCAACTATTCCTTTTTTTTTTTGAGGCATAAGCAATAGTATGACCACGTAGATATGCCCTAAAGGCAGTCTAGGCAACCCAAATATTTGTAGAATCTCTCTTTAAAAGAAGAAAAAAAATTATTTGTAAATATATTTGAACTATAAGCAGCCCAGAGTCATTGCCTGAGATGGACAGCTGTAGAAATTAACTAAATGAATAAATAAATACACAAAACATCATTTAATAAATTTACGAAACTCTTTAGCAGCCTATATGAGAATATTATTGAGCTCTTAAATGGGAACTTTATTAACTTGGAACAAAATATTCATTGAAATATATGAAGCAAAGATACTGAGCCAGCTAGTAATTGCACTGTATGGTAGGGTAAAATACATAATCATTCTGAGTAACTGAAGCAACTTAAAAATGTTTAGTTTCGGTTGTGTAATGCTAAGCCAAACATAGCTAAAGAAATTTGGAGATTATAGATATGTGTTTCCTTGCTGTTTATGAACTGGATCTCTCTTGATGTAATGGAAAGATTGGTCAATATTAGTCTGTGTGATCAGGATGAAAAGATGAATTTAAATATTGGTTTGATATATTCCGTGATTTATTTTGCTTCCTATTTCTCTATATGTTTTTTTTATTTCGCCCATTTCATCTCTTTTTTTGCATATTAAACCAATAAGAATATGAAAACATGCATGGATTATTGGGCATCTCCAGCTACAGTTTGTGTCCCTGTTAAACAAGAAAGTCTAGGATCCTGGAGTCATTTCTGGAAACATTGCTATTTACCGGTTGTAAGATAACTGTCATGCAAGACTGATTCATGGTATGGACATGGTTGAATCAGGGATGAAGCTGAGACAAAAGAAGTCTGGAGCAGAGGTTTCACTCACAATGCCTTTCCGCTTAAATTGGCACAATTCTGCAAGCTTGGGTAGCATGTTCTTTATTCAGGGGCAATATCGGCTATGTGGGAACTTTCAGGCAGCTCTTTTAAAAATACATTCACGCTTACTCCTCACTCATCCTCCACCACTGGCCACAATCAACCCCTTTTGTAGGTTTTGCATTTTAGATGTGTAAAATTTACATTTTGTAAATGTAAAAACATAGGCTGCATGAAGAAGGAATTCCAGATTAGGGAGGCAGAAATTAATCAGCATGGTTACTGATTTTATTTTTAGATGTATATGTTTTCCTGTCCTTTAATGCATATGCATCACTCAGGACAACTTAAAACACTTGAAATGAGTGCAAGATTTGAATTTTGGCAGTGCTCCAAAAATGTACAAAGACATCCAATAGGAATAACCATGTCTTCTAAAACTGAACATGATATTGAATGCCTTCCTAAAATAGCAATGCTTTGCCTATTTGCAAAACATTATCCAATAGGGCGACAGTCTAGACTCCTAAGAAGAAGGTTCCAGAGTTTGAGGTCTACCATTAAGGCGGCAATCCCTGAAGTGTATTGGACCCTAAGCCTGTAATGCTTTCAAAATTACTCTCGGCACTTTGAATTGTACCCCAAAATAAAGAGGTAATTGTTAGCAATTGTTATAGGACTGGGGTATAGCAGTGCCTGTAGGCATCTAACGATTTACCTCACCTATTGCTGTTAATAAAATCCAATTTAGAACCCACATCATTCCTATCAGTAGATAAAAAAGAGAAGTGGAGCTACATGCCACTGAGAGGTCCAGCAGAATGACAGGGACATAGTCTTGATTTCACTGTGGATTATTTACCAAGGCAACCAAAGATTTTTCCAGTTCTCATTGTTCCCAGTCCTCAAGCTAAAATGAGTCTAAGAAACCTGTTTCACCCAGGAACCCCTGAACCTGGGGTCCCATTCTATGATTAACCACCTTGTTCAAGAATAGCTAATTGGAAATTATCTAACAGGATCGGGAACTAAAAAATTCTTTTATTAGAAGTTTCATACTAGCGTTCCCTCTCCTCCCAAGGCTGGATGTTCAGTGAAGGATTGGCCATCTAGTTGACTGGATCTTTCTTGGTTGCCTTAGAGAAGACAAGGGTCAAGGGCATGTGTAGTCTAATTTACTAAAGAAGTTGTTAACAACCCCTGCTGTATGAATGTCATCTGTGACATCAAAACACAAGCAGACATAGCAGGATCTGATTCTGACAACTAAATGAGAGTAATTGTTCTTGAATCTAGGGTGGAGAAGATAGTCTTCACATCCCCTACAATTTGAGTAAAGATCTGCTAGCAAAGAAATAGAAGATAGATGAACTTAATGAGATAGATATAAAGAGACTCTACCATCCCCGGAAGAGTGATCAGTATGATACTGCTGATTGAGGGAGAGTCTACTCATACTTATGCAGGCAATTATTTGAAAAGAAGTCGTCCTTGTCAGGTGCCACTGACTTTGTCCTTAGGTTTTTGGAAGCCACTGCTCTCATCTGAGAATAATTCTCTTTCTGGTTAACGTGGCCATGAGTAAATTTCTAACAGTTGGTTAAAAATCGCTATATAATTATTTTTCAGGGGAATATTTTGCAAGATATTGTGCCTCAAACTTCAGCATGTTTTGTATTTCATGGCAGCTTTTGAACTGACATTGACAGAGTTGACCTTGTGTCTTTTCACTACTCTCTTGATCTTTTATTTCTATGGACTTTCTGTTAGTTGTGATTGTGCATCCATTGCTCCGGTGGCCTGTCTGGTGCTTGAGATATTTCTCTTTAATGGATTGTCTCCCTCTAATCCATCTATCCCTGGCACCCAGCTGAAGTGTTCAGTTGCAGTTCATTTCCCTTCTCTATTTTGCTTAAACTGGCCCTGTGTTTAGAGCTCTTTTTGTGCAGAAATAACAAGCACTGTAAAATGTGTTCTCATCTGTACATGCTAGTCGATGGCTTTCTTTACATAAGTAAACCTGAATGGATTTCAGGATGAAACTTTCAGTTCATTGGATTATCGGGAGTCTAATTCCGAGAGCTTTGTGTTCTGAAAATAATCCTTAAGAAGTGTGTTGGATTTTGTGTGAGCTGAATACTTCTCAGTTATTCGTTCACCTTTCTTCATCTGAAAAAAAAATACCACTGTTTGAAGGGACATGTTAACTTAAATCTGTGGATTCTTTAAACCTTAATTATCTTTTTTCAGGCTTACACAAAAAAGTGGGGAGCTTTAATGACTAGCCGAGATAGGTTGCAATCATGTGAGTTCAGAGGCATTTCTGAATCTTGTAGATTTAGGGAGGTGAGGAATGCTTATGAAGTGAATGATCCCTATTATATCTCATTTTCACACCCAGCCCAAGAATGAGATAAAACAATACAGCCAACATTCAGTTATTTATTTGCTCGCATCATATAGACAGACTCTTGCCAGATTAAACCTATACTACTCTCACCCTAACTAGATTCTAGGGAGTGGCTATCCTAACTTTTTTCCTGATCAACTTGTGGTGCCTCTTGTCTTGCTCGCCTCCTTGAAATATTCTCTCTTCTTTCTGACAAACTGCCCCTTCATTGCAGTCCATCTCCCCCTTCATAAACACAATCCATCACACACAGTGATATGTTAACTTTCCTGTGCCTATATTGCTGCCACCACATCATCATTTCCAGATTTCGCTACTTGTACTTGCAAAGATGAATTTTGTAAGATATTAACACAGCCTACCTGTAGTTTTCTTGGCAATGTATTTCAGAAGAGGTTTGCCCTTTACTCCTTCCTAGGGCTGAGAGTGACTGGCCCAAAGTCACCTGGATATCTTCATGCCTAAGACAGGGTTAGAACTCACGGTCTCTGGTTTCTAGTCTGATCCTTAACCAATGCACCAAATTGGCTGTCTACTTTTAATATATATGGGAGGAAAGCTACCTTGCCCTTTTAGAAGTTTAGATGTGAATCTCTGTTTTAATCACTTGATAGGAAAGTATCCCCAGTTGTCATTCTGTAAAACAATCGTCTGAAAAGCGGGAGGAGAAAAATTGCAAAGGATGGAAAGAGGCAAAGAGGAAAATACTGCCTCTCTTTGGAATTCTGTTGTCTTCTGATAGAGGCTAACCTTTGCAAAAAAGGAGCCTTGTTGCCTAAAAGCATACTTTTCTGCCTTTTAGGAGGTGGTTCTGCCCTTTTACCTGCGCCTATCCCTCCTGTCACCCTTGAAGACAAGGCCACCATCACCAGGTTACTTGCTTTAAAAGGAGCCACCATTCAAGAGCTGAATACCATTCGAAAGGCTCTCTCTTTGTCAAAAGGTGGGGGGCTGGCCCAGATCGCTCATCCTGCCCAGGTAAGGGTATTAAAAGCTCTCTTGGCCGAATAAGACTTAGGTTTTTTTAAAAAAAATGCCAGTTGTAGTTCTCTAGACTGTGGTTTACAGATGGATAAATTTTGGTGCTGAAGGTCTGGATAATTTTTATCCTCATCAATGTCAGGGACCTTATACTAGTCAGTTCTGATGCTTAAACATTTGGAGCAATCAGAAACAGAAGTCTTAGGAATGTAGGGAAATGGTTGTGATTGGTTCTTAACATATTTTTAGTATTCTTGAAGAAATCTTTTAGCTCTAGGCTGAGCTAGGAAATGTGCATGCAGAATAATGCAGTAAATACAAATTAATGTCCCCAGAGTGAATTATGCAACAACAGTGATTTATTTGTAAAAATCATTGCAACGCAGGCTAATTTGGTACAAATCTGGAAGACCTTAGTTTTAATGCACCAACTTCCATCTAAAGCCCTTTCCAGAAGTCCTTTTATAATTTTATTTCCTGTGCATGTTCATAAGGGCTCAGGGTTTCCCCCCAAAATTAAATGTGATAAATTCTACTCTTTGAGGTGAATGGAATATTTGAACAGGAGGCCTAAAGTTCTGTGCTAAAAATGCCAAAGCATTTCATCAAAAATTCTGATTGTTCAGCTGTAATGACTACTATGAATTAAGTAAAAACAATGCTTTGTTGCTTAATTTTTCTTTTACACAATTTGTAAATAATTTGGGTTGAGGGATTTAACTTTTTAAAAAACATTTCTGTTTTGCAGATATTGCAAACATTTAACAATTAAGAACTTATCCAGGTAGCCTTTGACTTACAATTGTTTAACAAATGTTTGAAGTTACAGTGGTGCTGAAAAAAAAGCCTGGTCCTCACACTTATGACCAATGCTCTCACAACTGTTACACCACCACCATGGTCACGTGATTGCAATGTGATTGCAATCATGTGGTTACATGATCATGATTTGTAACTTTTTTGCCAGTTTCTCATTGGGAAGATTGTGGATTAGCTTAATAACTACAGTGATTCACTTAGCAATTGTTGTAAAAATAATCATAAAATTGAATTTGACAACTGCAACAATGTATGACAAAAATTCTGGTCCCAATTGTGGTCATAAGTCAAGGACTACCTGCATAAACTATGAAATATGACCTATTTTTCATAAAAGCGAAAGACAGTAATTTTGTCAGAGCAGTAGGGAAGAATTTGAAGTATGATTCATACTTTATATGTCAAACACAGTTCTGTCTATTAGTAATACACTGAGCCCGTTTTTGTTTTTTTTACAGCAGAAATCAAACAGTATTTGAAGATATAGATTAGCTACATCATTCATTTCCAGTTTTTCAGCAGGCAGGAAATGTGAAGGTGGCTGTCTTTCCTATCCTAGGACTCTGGCTCAGCTTCATTTCGAATATGTAGGATTTATCCAAATCCCTTTCAGTGCAGATTCAAACGTATTCGTTATTCAGTGCATGATTCCAAGTAGTGCAATTAGTCAACTAAAGCCTCTTAACAGCATTAATGTAATTATTTTATTTTAATCTTTCAATCTTGTGATAAAATTGGCTTAGGTTTATAACTGAGCTTCTAAAATGCCTCCAGTTGGAATCTAGGCAGAGTTTTTTTTGGGAGGGGGGGTTGTGTGTGTGTGTGTGTATCTTCAAGTTAGTTTTTGTCAGGTTAAACCCAAGAATAATGAAGAGCAATTCAGTCAAGAGTTCTTTATTTGCCTACACACAATAGACTGTGGGTATCCATATTCTCTTCCTCTGTCTCCTATACAGCTCTGGCTGTTTTACCTTTTGTCTCCTCTCCCCTTTCTGAAATATGCTCCCTCCTTTTTAGGAAACTGCCACACATTGTAGTAGTCCATCACAACCATTCCCCCTTTGTGGGCATCTCACAGTTTTTAATTCCTGGCGACTGCCTGGAGTAATCCCTGAAGTTTTATTGGCAAGGCTTTTAGGAGGTGGTTTACCATTGCCTCCTTTCTTGGGCTGAGAGAAAGTGACTGGGTGACCGTGTGCCAGTCACTTTCTCTCAGCCCAGGAAAGGAGGCTGGCTTCCTGCCTGTGGCAGGATTAAAACTCACCATCTCCTGGTTTCTAGCATGATGCCTTAACTCCTACATCAAACTGGATCTCAAGTTAGTGTTAGAGGAGATAAAATACTCCAGATTGTATTTGACTTTTGACTTTCCACCCCTCACCCCCCCCCCCCCCCCCCGTATTCAAGTGATCATCTGATCTTGCAGACCCCAAATTAGTACCTATGCCAGGAGTCTTCAAACTTGACAGCTTTAAGACTTGTGGACTTCAACTCCCAGGATTCCTCCTCTAGTCATGTTAGCTCAGGAATTCTGGGAGTTCAAGTCCACAAGTCTTAAACTTGCCAAGTTTGAAGACCCTTGACCTATGCGCTCACATTGAGTGTGTATGTTGCGCTCAATAGCAACTGAAATTCAAAGATTCGGTTTCCATTTTGATGGCCAGAATAAGAAATTGCAAAGCAAAAAAGAAAAAAAAAACTATTTTTCATGGTGGCTTATAGCAGGCAACTTAGTCATTGTTAAACAGTGGAATTATTGGGATAATATATTAAAGGATAGATGGAAAGATGAGATCTGGTCTTTGAAAAGTACCTGATAAAAATCCATTCTGTAACAATCCAAAGTAGAGAAACATTGTTTTATAAGGAATGGTGGAATGTCATTTGTTGTCATAAATCATACCTGAAAACAACTTATTTCAAACATTATTAGCATATTAAAATTCAAATACATATTTTCACAAAATCAAGGTAGGCATAGTTAAAAATAAGATGCAAATTCCAATATAACGTGAACAATATTTACTATTGCTTATTTTTTCAGGTGTTGAGCCTCATCCTCTCTGATGTCATTGGAGATCCATTGGACATTATAGCAAGTGGCCCGACTGTTGCCAGTTCTCACAGCATGCAGGACTGCTTTCAGATACTGGCCAAGTATGATGTATTGGACACCTTGCCAAAGTCTGTGTTGACAGTCCTCTCTAGCTCTGTCACAAAGCACAGCACCCAGAAAAACTATTCCCATGTCTGCAATGTTGTGATTGGATCCAACAGGCTAGCTTTAGAGGGAGCCAAATGCCAGGCAGAACAGTTGGGTTACCTGACTATACTTCTGAGTGATGCTGTGGGTGGGGAAGTCAGCACTGTTGCCCTTTTCTATAGCCTATTGATTCAGTTTGTGTGCTTGAGCATTATAAACGATGCTGGAAACAGACCTTTAAGAGATTCTGTGAAAGAAATGCTCACAAGCATTGCAGGACAGCTGGAGATTCCAGTCTTGAGCCTGATAGACCCTCTAACAACAATGAAAGAAACCCATGCGGAAAACCCCATTTGTCTTATGGCAGGTGGAGAAACCACCGTGCAGATTCAAGGAAGTGGGAAGGGTGGAAGGAACCAGGAACTGGCTCTGCGAGTGGCCTTGGAACTGCACAGAGCTAAATCCACTATGGAGGGAAGCTATCTTAGTAAATACGAAGTCATGTTTTTGAGTGGTGGAACTGATGGACAAGATGGGCCAACAGAGGCTGCTGGGGCCTTCTGCAGCCAGGATCTGGTGGAGGAGGCTGAGCAGGAAGGCTTTGACGTGGGAAGCACGTTGAGCAATAATGACTCATACACATTTTTCACCCAGTTCCAAAATGGACATCACCTTTTGATGACAGGCCTGACAGGCACAAATGTCATGGACATTCACGCTGTTTTAATCAGAAGCCGAACTTAGTGATGCCACAGACATTGAGCTGTTCTGATTATGAAGGAATCTGTAGGCAACCCGAATGGAATATCTCTGTCCAGGCTGTTGATAACGAAGACCTAATGGACGGATATTGATAGACAAGTGGGGGTCACTTTGTTGTTTTAATTAGATCATGGAAACAGCTTCTTGAAACTATGACAATTCTTTTTTTATAACAACTTTCTTCAGCAGTGTGAAGAATTCTTCTGGTCATTCTGAGTGGGCCAGGCTGAAAAAGAAGAGCTAACAAAACTCTTATTATTTAGCCTTGAGGATGGCATCCAGAGGGCATCTTAATTTTGTAATCGTCTGTCGTCTAAGGTTGACCCACTGTATTTTGAAACTGTACCCTCCTCAGATGTTAAACAGGGGTTTGTCTCACAGGGGCTTGCTTCCCCCCCCCCCATGCATGGGATGATTTCCCCCCCGCCGCCGCCACCATCTAGAGGTATATGGTTCATGTCTGTAGATGGTGGGGAGGATGTGTTTGTGTAACAGTTCACTCATGCAAGCCGGAACTGAGATAGTGCAAGGTACTTGGTCATTAAGGTCACTTGGGATTCTTCATGCACATGGGACAGTTTCCTGCCCTTTAGACTTCATGTAAACAGAGACACAGTCATAAGAGACGTGACATTGGGAGGAATAATTTTGTATGGAAGCAATACTGTGCTAACCTTGTAACTCTTTTCCCTGTGGATCTGCTGAAGCAGTTTCTGAAGCTAATACAGTGTCGTTGAACTTTTTGTGTACCACTGCAAAATAAAGCATTTTCTTCAAGAATTGTTTATTACACCCTGCCACGGGACGTCAGAGCATCTAGCCTAAATTCATATATGAGACAATTTCCCCACCATATCTGAAAAGTAATAACAGAAAATGCTTCAGATCAGTGATTTCAGGTTCGCATTAGCTCTATACTTCTGGTTTCCCAACATGAAAAATCAGCTTGTCATTGTATGTTAACTCATCCTAGTGGAAACAGAGAGCTCCAAGTTTCCTTTGTTCAGCTGTAGAGTCCACATCGAATGAGGTTGGAACTGAGAATCTAATTTCCATCAAATCCAGGCAGGATATGCATTTTTTAGCACCTGCTCCATTTCAGTATCACTACCTGTTATTGGAAGAAGAGTTTGAAAAATGGGCTAGATGTGCTGAAACTAATGTAACCTTGACCTTGCTCACCTTTCGTAATGGCTTTTTCTTGCTGATTGATAATTTCATGGGGAATGCATTGTGCAGAATGGAAGCTGCAAGCATTTTATGTATCAGTTTACCATTGACTGGAAAACAATGGAGCCTCAGGTTTGTGACCTTTCTAACTATATCAAGCCAGAAGTCCCTGTCACTTTGATTAACTCCTCTAATCCCAGAGAACAAAGACAAGAAAGACCCACACAGGCAACTGTTGCCAAATTGCTGCATTGCACAACGCAGTCCACTATTGGAGCAACTTCACCAAGTTCATCTGGTCACTTCAATAAGCTGAACAAAACATCATTTTTTGGATCATACATGTAATATAATGGCTTTCATGAAAGTCACCCATTGATTAATCTAAGCTAGCTGTTCCTGTTCCAGTTCAGCAAAAAAGGACAAATTAGAATACCAATCCATTTTTCAATGAGGTTTAAATTGAGTATTCCATAAATTAACCACAACTTAGTTTTTGTTATTACAACATTCTACCCTTATTTTGCAACAAACTAAAATGGTGCCCATCTGGTACCCCCTTTTTTTGAAAGGGGGGGAGGGAGGGAGAGAGAGAGAGGGAAGGAAGGATGGAGGGAGGGAATGAGAACAATCTTATGGTCCTTGGGAACCATAGCCTTGATCAAATCTGCCCCCACTTAAGTAAAAAGGAGGAAATTTATATTTGATTCCATTCTCCCTACATTGATAAATCAAAATTCTCAAACTTGGAAAATATTTAAAGATTTGCTGCAGCCTAAGTCTCCCCATGTTTCCATCAGATTTCCATCAATAACATTTAGACAAGCCGAAGAGTTATTCCATCCATCTGAATGCAGAACTTTTTGCTGGTATATTAAGTGTTTGGAAATCTGCTGCCAGCAGATCTTTTTATTTCACTAAAAATGAGTGCAGAATGTGAAATGCTTTGGAAAAAAAACTAAGCTTTTCTCCTTCAGCATTAATGTGTGTGTGTGTGTGACTGGACAATGTACAAATTACACAAAAACCTAAAAGCTATGTATAAATATTATAATGGGGGCAGTTAAACAAGAACAGAATCATTAAAATTCTGAATTAAATTTAAAAGTGAGGCGGGCCTTCAGGGGAGAGTCAGGTCTTCAGAAATTTCCAGAAGGCCAGAATTGTGGGGGCCCGCCTCACTTTTGGGGAGCAGAATGTTCCAAATGCTGGGGGCAAAGGTCTACCTGGACCCCTTCAGTTAAAATAAAAATCCTACAAATGTTTGCTTACAAATGTTTGCATATATTCCTGTTGACTATATGACCAATTTTTTAAAAAGCTGTAGTAAATAAATTAGAGATTATTGCAGTGATTATTGCATGACTCAGATGCCCTTTAGCTGATCATTTAGCTATAATGGAAACCATGCATCTGAGACTAAAGGCTGCTTAGCTTAGAAAACAGCCATTTGGGAAATAGATCCACGTAATCAGGCTTTGCTCATGAGTTGGGGGCTAAAATCATTTCCCAAATATTTGAGAGCTGTTCATGAGCAAATATCTTCCATCTAGCTGGCAACATTTGAAAGCTGATCCACCTCATTCTTAAGTATAAATCACCCACCACACTTAAATTATGTAATTTAAAATCCAACAAGGTGTAGAAAATGTATTAAAAAATAAAACATATTCCTTTGGACATTTTGGTATTTAAAGGGAGTCTAGAAATAGTTTGAGAGTTAATTGTTATATTTTCTCTAAATATTACATGCTTGCCTTTTGATCAAGAGATGTAAGATTAAACCATTGACTTCTAACTTGTTGTTTACAAGAGAAGAATGCTAACCCCACATCATTATTAAAAGAAGGTTAGGATACATAAGCAAACTTATTTCAATTGGGCATGTGGTCTTGGGGTGTACAGCATGCTAAATATTTGCCACTTGATCTCGTCAGGTTACCTAATACAATGCAGAGTATTCCTAGCAAGTACTTACTACATTTGGAACAGCACAAAGTGTCTGTCTTTGTTTTTTCATTTTACCGTACTGCATTTAGCTTCCATGAATATATTGCACTTCAAGCTCTTAATGGCATATGAAGGGTTAATGGCAAATGAGATGCTTTTTTTTTTTTTTTTGCCAAAGTTTCAGTGAAGAACCTTTGTGTTAGAGGACCAGGAATTAAGGCTTGTATTGCTAAAATCACTCAAGGATGAAAGCCTACTTATATCTGCCTTCCTGCACAGGTTTAAACTAATTTTGTGTCCTCCTTATGTTTTCTGTATCCCTCACAGCATCAGCTTCAGGGGAGTTTAAAAAAAAAAAACCTACACCAAAACAGTTTCTTTATATCAGCAGAGTTCTTCATTAATCCTTGGAGACGCTGCTCATGCGTGATTTCAGGCTCATTCGCAAAGCCTTGGCAGCAGCTACTACTTCAGGGTAATCCCATTGCTCTTAAAGTTGTGTGTTGCGTGTGTGTTTAAAATGAACATTTCGCTGATTATTAAACTAAATACGTTTTTCAAAAAGGAAAAGCTGATGAAAACAGATGAAAGGATGTTGTTGCTTGAAGCACACTTCACACCAGTGTTCTCTTGGTTTTTCTCCTCTCTGAATATCTTTATTTCCCATTCTCCTTTCCTTTAATGAGGTGAAACTAGAAGTGGGGAAAGTTGGTCAAGGACAACAAAACTAAGAACGCATTTTCGAAACGTGATGTACATGTTTTGCAACCTTTACTGTCATTGGAGATAGAGAAAGAAAAACATACAGGATGTAAGCAAATCCGGGTATTCTCTTGCCTCCATATTAGAATAGTCACAGGAAGGGCTGTGTGTAAAAAGGATGGCAGGGGGATAAAGTTAAACTCCACCACTAATTCTTTCCATTCTTCTGATTCTGCTGATTAAAAATCTCCATGTAATTTTTCTATCATATCATCTATGGGTTCCTTTGCAAATGAAAGTGACCAAAAGGGGAGACCTACAAATGCATTTTATGTACTAGGACATTTGCACAATGAAAGTAAACGTCTGCTCTGCTAACACCCAGGCCAAGTTTCATTTTTTTAAAAAAATCCACATCACCATATATCATCATTCGGTAGTTTCTGGCTGGGAGTGGAGTCATGGGAAGTCATTGGTTTAATTATTGTACTGAAGGCACGTAAATCATTGTCATACCCAACAGAATATTCGTTGGTACCTGGTGATTTTGCTCTATGTGAAAAGAAGGAGACATGTGAATTAATCATTTCCAATCATTTCTGTACTAATGGTTTTGCTAGAAACTGGTTTCTGCCAGCACCGCAGGAACTCTGTAAATAGTAATCCAATAGTAAAGTGTTAGCAGATTAATTTTTATTTACCATCTGCAGTAATAGCGGCTTAGAAAAATAGTAAGAAATGCAAGTGTCAGAGTAAGAAAAAATAGAGCATCAGAAGATTATAGTACTTATGTACCTTCTTTTGTGCCAATGACCACATGAGTGTTTCTTCATCTAAATAGGATATACATCCATAAATAGTTCTACACATTAAAATCTACCGTGTTCCAAAATAGCCAAGGTAGAGAAAAGATAGACAAGTCTCTTCAGCCAGCTTCTACACTACCCCTACAAGGAAAGGAAAGGAAAAGGAAAGAAGGAAAATGGCAAAAAAAAAAAAAAAAAAAATGGCAGATCTTGCATGGTTCTGGTGTTAAACATTCTAAAATATTCTTGCAACATTTTGCCATTTTTTTCCCAAGAAGTGGGAACAATATGATATAGCATCCTTCCTAAACCCAGATGGGTATCCTATTAATTGAAATCTGGTGCATCTGGAGAGCCTCAAGCTGAGAATCACTTTGATAGATCTATCGTTACCTGTCATTGACTGATCCCAAAGCAGAATGGCATCTGCTTAGTGTTTGGCAGAAATGCCCAGAGCAAGACTTGTAAAGCTGAGAAATAAATAAATTGGTAAAGCTATGCCAATCGCATCTCTATTGCTGCCAACTACGTTCCATAGATATTTTGACAGAATTTCCAGGATTTGGGATCCATTTTAGGAAGTTTTTTCTATGTAAGTTTATTGCACAAGTCATTCAGACTGTTCTTCGTAGAAGTTCCAAAATCTGCAAACATGTTTTGACTGGAGAACAATTGTATACTTGCGGTCCTTCAGTCTTTGACCAAAATCTTCACACTGTTAAAAATACCCCAGGAGGAAGAATACTCTTCTAAAGTTGATTTTATCCTTTCAAAATATGGAATTTGTGTTGTTGTTTTTTGAAAGAAAGAAAAATAGTTAAAAGACTACTGTATTTTTTTTACTAGACATTGATAGCGTTTGGTGAGACAGGTCAAGTCAAGTGTGGCACAGAGGCTGACAGTTTATGTTCTCAAGGTATTCTCTCTGTGGAAGGATGAATCCTGTAATCGCCATCACAACCAAACAAGAAAATAAAACTGTGGCTTGAATGACACTGTCAGTTGGGTAGGATGAATTAGACACCGATTCCACCAGGCAGAACAGAGCCAGATGGGAAGAGGATCAACAGCCCAACAGCTGGCACTTTCTCAGGGCTGAGCTCATTTACGTAAGTGGAACACTTGTGGCCAAACAGTGCTAATGGCTGAGGATAAGTAACTACCTTATTAATAGTGGAAGCTTTTGGCACCAAATTAAAAACCTTGGCTTCTAG